TCTCTATCTCTCTCTATCTCTCTCTATCTCTCTCTATCTCTCTCTATCTCTCTCTATCTCTCTCTATCTCTATCTATCTATCTATCTATCTATCTAGTGTATTTGCAAGGCAGAGCAGCTGTGGCGTCGAGCCTGCCAAGTGGAACGAGAGCGGGCCCAGTCGCGAATCCCAAGCGAGTCTCCAGCAGGTCCATTGCATTGATGTCAATGAAAACAAGCTCCATTGCATTTGAGGCTGTTGGGATTTGATCTGGAGGAGGCAGGGCGCTGAATTGAAGGGCCAACAGGGCAAAGCAGGTCGCCCCTCAGGCCGCCCCTCAGGTCGCTTTTTGTGGCTCAACTTCAGAGCCTTTTGGGAAACCACCTCGCTCGAGCGAGGTGGCCCTTGATCCTGACCAAACCTGGCAGGCTCGGAGTTTTAGGTAGGGGTAGTGGGAGTACTTCTGTGAAGGCTCAGCTTGGCTGTGAGACCAGGAGGCTCCAAAGACGAGAGAGAGTCTCAGGTAGTCAGCAGCCATCAGTTTCTGTATTTTCACTCCGGGTAATATGTACACTCTGCCATGCACTGCATATAGGATATCATGTACGCTTACCTGTAGCTCGCGGCCCAAAACAGGGGCGGTAGCTTAACGGCTGTTTCTATAGGTTATCAGCCGTAGTGCTTTAACCACAGCCATGGACGCCCTCGCTATTCCCGGTAATGCCGCGTCATCGGTTGCCGTGCCAGCCGGTCTCGTGACTGAGCCCACAGTAGATCTAGACGATCCCATGGGTTCAGCCCCGGTGACAGCGTACTTTCAGTTCGTGCAGCAAAACATTCAGCAGGTATACAACGGTAATGAGGATGCAATCGTTGAAGGAGGTATTAGCGCAATGGATGGAAACGGTACAAGCCAAGTTCCACCAGGCAATCCTTGAGGTAGAAGGCAAGCACCATGAAGAGCTTGGTTCAGTGAAGCTACAGGCCCAATCTAGCTACAACAAGTTGCAAGTAGAGCTTAGCGCTGCAAAAGCACGTATTTTCAATCTGCATTGGAAGCAGAAGCAATGAAAGCTGAAATGGATTCCTTGCGCACACAACTCATGCACCATTGTCAGCAAACAGTAAGCGCTATCACCAGCAATGCCGAGCAAGGTGTTGCGAAACTTCGTGCAGAGTTTGATGAGCGTGAACTCAAGCTTCAGCGTGATTTGAGGGAGGCAGAAAATGAAAACTATAGCTTGCAGCAAATCATCGGTGACCCGAGGGCTGAGAACAAAGATGCCACTGACCCAGGGTATTGTCCAACGAGCATAATAGCTTCGCCAACATTGACGCCTAGGCCAGGCGAGCAAGAGAAGAAAGGTACATTTGAGACCATCGCAGCAGAGGCTAGTGCACGACTGAGTGGGTTGTTTGGACCTAGTGTGCAAGAGGCCACCGTCACTGGTGATGCCCCAGCTGAGGCAACAGCACCAATCAAGCCGGTACTACCCGTTTATGGTGGTACTATTCCGGATAGTGGCAAAACCCAAACTCACATGTTTCACAGCCCTGCACCATCGGCCCGTGAGCCCCACAAGCCAGCATCGTCAGGTGCTATCACCTCGGAGCAGGTGATTGAGCTAGTTAAGTCACTCACCCAAAGGGAAAGTGATGAGAAGCCAAAGGTCAAGGAAGCAGATCACATCAAGTTGAATGATATGCCCACTCCCGAAACCTATCCGCAGTGGAAACATCATGTGAGGACGAAATCAAATCATGTTTTGACAAACCTGACGCAGCACGGGACTGGTTGATGGAGGTGCATAACACAATCGATGAAAGGAGTGTTCTGGAAGATCGGTTGTCCAATCCCGGTAAGTTTACCACTTTGGATACCAAGTTGGCAGCTGCATTGACCAGAAGTGCAAAGGGTGACCTAGCAAACCGGATCATCAACTACAAAGAAGAGAAGGCAAAGCTAGGCATCCAGGTTCGTGGGAGGATGATTCTCCTCATGTTTGATGACTATTTCAAGACCTCCTGAAGAAGCTGGGGGCCTTTACAGGGTTGAAGATCTCCTCAACGTGGTGAAGGTAGGCGACACCGTGGCGGATTTGAAGCGTTTCATCAACCGCTGGGACGCTACCATCGCTGGTATGCCCGAACCACCTCATGAGAATGTGCTACGGGACATCCTGTTGAGACAGATTCGAACCAGTTCAATTTTGAGGTATGACATTGATCTGTTTGATCGTGCAAAGGAAGGTGATCGCCACAGGTCTTACAAGTTTCTGTTGCAAAGTATCAAGGACTTGATTGACCGTGAGCGCCTTCGTGAGAACCGATCGCGCATCGCTGAGCGGAACAGGTTGAAGCCAGGCGATCGCAGCGAGAAGAATGCGGCGCCAGGTATTGATCCACGCCGCAAGCGCTCTCCATCACGCGGACGGCCAACTTCCCGGGACAAGGGTGTTTGCTGGGCTTTCCTTGACAGGAAATGTACCAAAGGGAAAGACTGTAAGTTCAAGCATGAGAAGCCCAAGCGTGATCCTTCTAGAAGGCGTCAGCCATCCAAGGAAAAGAAGGAGCAGAGAGACAAGAGTGAAGACAAAGAGACAAAGAAGATGACCAAAGAAGAGATGGCTAAGACCCCCTGTAGGTATGACCAACAGGGTACACGCAGATGGGGTGACAAGTGTTTCTTCAAACATGGTGACAAGGCAGCGCCAGCCGCAAAGACCAAGGCCAGAAAGGAACCCCCTCTAAACCTGGAAAGGAAAAGAAAGGGGACCCAAAGAACCCTGCTGTATGCCTTCGCAATCGATTTGCCTGTTTGGCAACCGATTTGCCGGGTCCATCATGTCTCAAGAAGCCTTGTTTGCCTCCCGTGCGTGGTAGATCCAAGTCGTCTAGCCGAAAGGTCAGGTTCACTAGGAAACCTGAGATTCACACAATCCCCGCTCGTGGGGAGCATTGCAAGATGATCAAGGAACCCCGCAAGCACAAGTTGCACTACGCCGCGAGCGATCGTGTGCCCAAGAGCGACCCGAAAGCAGCCAATCGGGCAAAAGTAAGAGCAAGACAGTTGGCTGAGATTGTTCGCAAGTTCGAGTGCCCTAATGAGCCTTCGTGCCATTTCAAGTGCCTTGAACCATCGCTCACGTGCCGTGCCTGCAGGAGTCTGATTCAGCTGAAGTCGTGCCCAACGGCAATTCCGCCGATTGTGGCAAGTCCGGCGCCAAGGGAAGGAAAGTTCTCATGGTTGGTTGACTCGGGGAGCGAACAAGATCTCCTTAGCAGAAAGGTCATGGAAGCCGCTGGTGCAGAGAACCCTCGTAAGGCACCTCATGCAATCAGCCTGATCACTGCAAACGGGTCTACTGAAGCAAGTGAAGTTGCCGATGTTCGTCGGATGAAGCAACTGCTTGAACCATGTACGCCATATTTGCTGAATGCCCAGCTGTGTTGTCCGTCGGTATCAAATGTCTTGATCAAGGATACAGCTTTGTATGGCCAGCAAATGGCACTCCCATTTTGGTGAGACCAGATGAAAAGATTGTCCAACTTCGAGTTGATGGTCATGTCCCAGTCCCCGATTCCGATTGCAAAGTCTTTGGTGAGGGTCAGTTCAAGAAGGACAAAGCCCTGAAGAAGCTGTATCTCGAGCCCATCGGACAAGAAGGAAGAAGAGGGCATTGACGAAGAGGTGCCAGATGATGATGAAAGCCGTCTGGTACGTTCACGGAAGGTAGGAGACCTGATGCGTGAG